AGTCAAAAAGTTAACACGAACGAAACCAGACGACGAACAATCATAATAAGTGACAGCAGAGCTTAAAAAGATGGCAACACTCACTCTGATTGTTTAATGATCTATTTCTCCATGTTGATCTGAAATGAAAAACAATCATATTTGTACATTATATGGTTATGCAACAACAAAAAAAAACATGGCCTCATCTATGTGTTATTCCGAGTTCACTTGAAAGGCCTCTTTCACAAGAGATTGTAAGGGCTTTGACTCAAGAAAAGGGTCTATGCATGTTAGCCATTAGCCATTTTAAAAAGGCTGAACAAATATTTTAAAAATGCATTGGACCAATGAAATTTGTTATGCACTATGCATTATGTTCATAATGTTGGGAACTATTCCAACCTAATTTTAATAATGAGAATAAATTTTACATGAATTCTGCATATGGCTGAATAAGTAGGGTACACAATCTGTTGAGTGATAATAGGTCAGCCACTTGGACGGATATACTTATAAACACTGGTTAGGTTTGTATTTCTGTCTCTACACATAATTTAAACAAGATGACTTGAGCATTCTACACACCATGCAATATACTCACTATTATCACCTATAAATGTATGGTACATACCGGTATCATTGGAGATGTACATCATTATGGTAACTGCAATGTTTTTTTATACTTACATATTATCTGCAATTATTTTTGAGAGAAGATCCTTCAAATTTTTGTGAAAATTATCTGAAGTGAGAAAACAAAATTGTTTGAAACTAACTGGATTGCAACTGTTAGAAATCAAAGAAATCTTAGAAAGAACTTCTGTAGCTGAAGGCATTTAAGACATATAAAGAAATACTGGTAGGCAGTATTTAAAATTAATTAAAAAAGTAAGACTGGGATTAACTTAAATCCCTGTATAATGCCACAATCCCTCAACCCTCCAGGATGTCCATGAAAAATTAAACTACATGTACCGTAATTCAGGTGGTCTTGTAGAAAATTGAACAAGCACACAGTAAAATGAAGAGATTTTTATTTATTTTTTTTGTTTTGTTTTATTCTGCACTTATATTAGATATTTCTATAGAGGGATATTTACCTGGGAATAAATCTTGAACAGACATGAAATCTGAACAACCTTCAAATATTGCACATCGTATGAGTGAACTTAGAGTGACAAGTAACTACATATAGGAAAGAGAAAAAGCATGAGCATTTTAGAAAACATATATCAGGGAAATTTCACTCAAATATACACCACATTAACCCCGAAAAGCTAACTTTTACTACTTTTCACACACAAAAAACTGCGATAATTGTTTTAAATATTTTTCCATCAGAAATACATGTAGATCAATTATGTCTATTTGTTCAAAATTATAGAAAAATAAACAAAAATCTACAAATTACGTATTAAGCAATTATTCATAGATGTGTCATTACTTTTTTGTGTGAGTATACCCAGTAAATGAGATACAAAATCCTAATAATATATAACAATTTGGCAAAAATATATGTATTGTGAAGTTATTACGAGATATTACTATGCACAAGGGCAGTAAAGCGATTAACTAACGCCATGTAGAGAATCAACTCTTGGAAGGCATACCTTGTTGTACTGCGATTATTTTATGTATTTTCCGTCTAAAATGCCAGCAATAAACAGTTGATGAGGGTTCTACTAAGTAACGTGCGGACACACGCGAGACTGTTCGGATATGCTACGCACAGGAACGAACGGGGGCAAATAAGTAACGTGCTGGGCAGCGGCAGCAATCCTTGTACTGTATAATGTTCATTTATGCTCAAAATTTGAAACGGAGTCGCTATTATGGCTGATGACGGGCCTTTCGCCGAGTCAGTCCGCCATGTTGTTTACTAATTTTGGTTAGCGTTCAACAATAGGACAATACCATTTGATCCATATGGGGTGACAATACTACATATTACAAATGCCGCACATTGTCAAAATTTACTAAAGTAACATGCAATGAAATCGGTATCCTAAGAATATCGTAACGTCTTTGAATTTTCTGTTGCAGCATAAGTATGTATCAAGGATGCGTAGTATACAGTACAATTATTGTTGCCACTTCCCCGCACGTTACTTATTTCCCCCGTTCATTCCAGCGCATGTATGGACCATCCCACGGTGTCCATGCGTTAATTAGTAGGACCGGTTTATGAGACTTATGACTGCACAGTTCTATTTCCATCCTGTACTAAATGTACACTGTTGTTGTATCTGACGTAAACAAAAGTATTTGAATGTGACACAGTCTGACAGGAAGATGTTCATAAAACATTTGCATATGTTGTATTGCATCGCGTCGTATTATATTTTATTTATTACCTGTTTTGCAATATTTTGTTGAACTCTCAGTGTGGCTGCAATATTTTCAGTAACAGTTTTGGGATATTCAATGACATCCCTGTATAGGAATGCATCTTCACATAACTTCAAGACAAATTCCTTTGAGTTAGCCTACAATTAAATAGAATAGAGGAAAATTAGTATCGAAGTACAATGTGCAAAGGTATAAACTGCTTTTTCGGTTCTAACATATTTCCTTCCAGAAAGGTTTGTGATTAAATAATGTAAGGAAGAGAGATATTCATGTTCCTGGCCATCATGAGTGTCAGTTAACTGAATGTCAATTAAAAATGGGCATCTTCAAAAAAAATCATGAAAAATCATATTAAAAGCAAGCACTGTCAGTGCACAGCTGCTGTTTTATATTTAATGCTAGAAGTGTAGGTGTACATTAGACTAAATAGGGATGTAATGCAATTAGTGTACTGTAATGGACAGAGCATATTAGGTTGAATCTAATAATGTATGTATAATTAATAACTTGTCAAGTGCACAAGAGCAAAATCATTCTCAAGATATGTCTCAAACTTGGCCATACATTGGGGTTGTTATAGTTCACTTCCTGTAAAAATACAGTGACTAAAAAGGAAGTGAGCAAAATTTCTCACCAATTCATTCAAGAAACCATTGTATACATGCAAACTTGTATTTTCTGTCATTACTACAATTATTTTAACTTTCTTGTTTAGGTAAAATATTGATACACTTGCAATAGTTTTATTAACAAACTTGTACTTTAATGTATAAAAACTGCTCAGACACATTACAAAATTTATACTAAGATCAAAACAACAATCATAATAATGTTAAATTCCAATTAGTTAGTTCTTTTTCACATAATAAAAAGTATACAAAAGTAAACATTTTTATGTCTCTTCCAAGTAGACACAAACCTTCATGAATTGCAACTAGAGCTTCCTATCTTCCTAATGCTGAGCAGTCCTGCTATAAACACCACCGGGATCTCGCCAGACCAATGGGAGTGCCAGTCACTTATGAATATTAATGAGCTTGGTCACAGTGCAAATATTCTCTTTATTGAAGTCAAAATATTGTGTTTCACAATTTAAAAAAAGTTTGATATTAAAAATGAAACATTCTCAAAATGCAAACACTGTGGAATACTTTATTTTCGCTGGAATTAATTTTCGCTGAAAAGGCTTTTTGGGCGTTTTGTATGGAATTTATTTTCACTGATTTTTGATGAGTTTAATGTGAAATATAGGAAAAAAAGTATATTCACTGGATTTTATTTTCACGGAAACATCCCTCCAGCGAAAATAGCGAAAATAAATTCCAAGCGAAAATAAAGTATTCTACAGTACTACAAACTCAAAACAACATACGGTATAACTTATTGTTACATCAGCAAATAAAACTTCCAAAGTTGCAACATGACAATACTTACTTCGCGATATTATACACCGCTTATACCAGTAAATCCTCTTACTCAGTCATGATGCCTTTCAAAAAATGTTAGTTCATTTTTTATATGGATATAAAAGTAAAATTTGACTTAGTTGTTTTGATCACCCGATCGCTTCGGTAAAAAAAACACAGACTCCCCATGATGTTTGTGACGCATTAGTTGACCGGCATGTGTCCTTTGACCCGATGGGTCAAGAATGCCATTAACCAATCAGAATGCTGCATGGTAATGTCGTTAGAACCCTAAGTTTTCCGAATACTAGTGATCATAAAAATGACATTGTGGATTTCAGTTGAAAACTGCATGATGGTTTTTACTCAATCACGCAATAAACACACTGCTTATTATTGAGTAGCATAAACAGATTGTCACTTCCGCTTTGACTACTAATATGTTAAATTAGGGTGGAATTTGAAAGAATGCCAATCTGATTAAAATCTGATGTAATGTACGGGCTTTAATTATTTTGGCTATGAACTTATTTTAACTTTATTTTTTATTACTTTTGTATTTTATTATGATTTTTTATTTTTTTTTTATTTCGCCCTACATACATCTGACCCGATGCCTATGTAACGAGACTTCAACGAGACCCACTATCGACGATTTTAGTCAACGAATCACATACCTCCTTCTATATAGCGCACATGGTGACGTCACCGGGCAGAGTCAGGTGGCAAACACACTCAAATAAAATGGCAGATTATACCGACGTTAGCGACCGAGAAAAACAAGGCTTTTCGGTAAGTTTATCACTGTCAAATGCAACGAAAGTCATTTTTTTATGTTTATATTGTGGCTCGAATGGTTCGAGTTTAGATCGTTATTTTGCGTTATTCTGGGAGTGACGATTTTGTTTCCACCGAATACCGGTATCTTTACTAGTCGCTTGCCCTGGAGACAGGTGATGTTTTGTTGACGATCGGGCCAAAATAGTCTACGGTACTGAAGCCGTAGCTGTAAATATTCATCAAAATGTATCAACATTTTGTACATTATACATTAAAGTAATTGAGCTGATTTGCTCCAATTTTCTGCGTCGATGCCGTGGGCCGGTGACCGTTATACAATTTAAAATCAGTTTGCATTGTTTACTATAGCTGTTTACAGTGTTCTAATCATTACGATTTACTTATTTTTTGCTTCCATTCTAGATAATTATGTTCAGTGTTTGATGTAAAATTGAAGCGATGACTGAATAAACAAACCTTGGCTGGCGAAGATGTATCAGGAAGTGTACACATTTGTTGGAAGTGAAAAAATATTCAATGACAAAAATTGTAAAATGCTATGAAATTTCTTTTGTAAATAAAAATATACTAGCAATTTTCTATTAATGGTTTATTCAAGTGGGCAAAATATAATGTACAGAAAGATTGCCCGTAGAGTATCGCTACACTGAAAAATAAGCAACCGACAGCCTGTAAAAAAGCAGGGCTGTGATTGGCTGTTACTTGCGCGAGATTTGAACGGGACTTACATAGACGTCAGATCAGATGTATGTAGGGCGAAATTAAAAAAAAAATCACAAAATCAAAGTAAAATAATAAAATAAAAAGGCATTAATAACAAAAGTAATAAAAAATTAAAATAAGTTTATAGCCAAAATAATTAAAGCCTGTACACTACCGGTACATCAGATTTTAATCAGATTGAAAGAATGCTGGCTTTCAATTTAAAGACATAGAAAATACAGTTTATGAAAAAATTAGTAATTTGTAAGTTCATACTGTTTTACAATGTGTACTTACCAACAAAAAAATATCAATCAAGAAGGAAAGAGCTCTCTAATTAAGCACCCCTAACCCTCAAACCCTAACCTTAACACTTTAGCAATTGTAACTGTATATTAAAAATATTAAACTATGGTAATTAATTAATTGAAACAGGGTGCCATACACACTTTTCAGCAAATAAAAGGGTATGTCTTCTCTGTAACACAAATCAGATCAAAAATTAACATTTTGTGATGACTTGTCCTGTCTATGCCCAACACAGAAACATTCTACATGTATTTAGGGAAGCAAGAAAAATATCCCAAATTTTAATAAAGCATGATGACAAATTCAGTTTTATATTGTGCAATACATTCCTGTCATTTCCTTAAGGCCAATATTTGTTTTGAATCTGGACAGCAACCCCCCTATAGACATGGATGTCACCTAATGATCTTCAAATTTTTTGTATTTTCTGCCATTTTCATTTTGACAATCAACACGAGCACATCTAAGGACATTGTTCTTGAGAAAAAAATAAAAGATAAAATCTGCACATTCTGAATTTGCTTTGGTATTGTTTTAGAACCGTAGAACTAACATGTATACCTTTTTAGTTACTGTACTGAGTAATCCTAGTTAAAATGACAAAAGATTTTTGTATATTCTTAATAAGTTTGGGCGTTCCTTAGCCCATGCTAACCACTGTTTCTTCCCGTGTGAACGCAAATGGGTCTATCCAATCTAGTACGTCCATGATCCAATATGCAAACATATGAGATTAGCTTAAATCTTAGCCCGTACGCCAGGTAGCGACAACTATTCTCATTCATTCCAATGGATATTAAGTGGTTAAATAAATATGCCCAGATACCTATATATCTTATACTGGACACAAAATTGCAGAGCTCCCCCAATTGTTATCTCAATCACTGTGTCTCAACACAGACTATAAACGTGAATGTCGCCTGTGGCCAGGGGCGTCGACCCATTCTGAAAAGTGAGGGGGACACTTTTGTGTCCGCGTAAACGGCCAATGACCGCGCTTGCATGAACATGGGGTGTCTGAGAAGGGGGGACTGCCCTATGTTCTGACATCTCTATGTTTCGATACCACTATGTTCCGACACCCCTATGTTCCAACACACAGTATACTTGTGTCAAACTGGACTTGTGTTAATACTGGAAATCCAACTGTAGTGTAGTCCGGCCATGATGCTCGAAAGTCCGTGAAGGCGGAATCTTGCATAATGTTATCGGATAATTATCAGAGAATTATCAAACAATGTTGCCCATTGTATCATTCTAATACTTCGACAATTAATTGACAATATCAGTGTCTGTTGGATGTGTTTCCAACCTTAAATCCTCCGATTGCCTAACTATCGAAGTTTTAGATCAAT